GACATCATCGAGCATAAATAATGTAGACATGTATGTTTGTTGTATTCAATCTTGATAAGAGCCTGATGTTTTATGAGGTGACACAAAAAATAGGCATTCAAACGAAAAAAGGGCGCAAAATTGCAATTTCTAAAACGTTTGAAACTATGTTACCAACATCTTAGCAAAATAAGGTAATTTGAAATTTCTGCGGGAAAAGTACGATGCCGAGCATTATCGTAGCATATGCAAAATGCAAATAATGTTATCGCTGTCATTGGAATTTCCGTCAGCTCGTGGTAAAATATACGCTGCACGCCTATATTTGCGACATTTTTCTCCGAGAACGTGGTTTGCATGGATATGTGGCGGTACCTGTACAGACAAGTCAATTTACTGCGTCATCGGGCGGTCGCGAGCGGTGCACGTAGTATTAAATACCAGCGTTTTAATTTAACATATGACCATCTTATATATAACAGATGAGTACTATTACCGGGAGCAGAAGTTTCTTAATAATAAAGCGTATTTCACTGTTGCCAAATATGTAACATTTACCACACCCTACCTCCTACAACCCTCAACCCAATCCTTGATTTCCAACTAAAAGTTTGTTAAACAAACTGGAACTTGTAAAGCATCAAAACATAAGCCGAAATATGATCAATTTTATTTTTTTTGTTTTCAAGTTAGAGAGGAGCTCAAGCGTTAGCAGACAGAGAGATAGACTGACCGACAGACAAGTCAATTTACTGCGTCATCGGGCGGTCGCGAGCGGTGAACGTAGTGTTAAATACCAGCGTTTTAATTTAACATATGACCATCTTATATATAACAGATGAGTACTATTACCGGGGCAGAAGTTTCTTAATAATAAAGCGTATTTCACTGTTGCCAAATATGTAACATTTGCCACACCCTACCTCCTACAACCCTCAACCCAACTCTTGATTTCCAACCAAAAGTTTGTTAAACAAACTGGAACTTGTAAACCAACAAAACATAAGCCGAAATATGATCAATTTTATTTTTTCGTTTTCAAGTTAGAGAGGAGCTCAAGCATTAGCAGACAGAGAGATAGATTGACCGACAGACAAGTCAATTTACTGTGTCATCGGGCGGTCGCGAGCGGCGAACGTAGTGTTAAATACCAGCGTTTTAATTTAACATATGACCATCTTATATATAACAGATGAGTACTATTACCCGGAGCAGAAGTTTCTTAATAATAAAGCGTATTTCACTGTTGCCAAATATGTAACATTTACCACACCCTACCTCCTACAACCCTCAACCCAATCCTTGATTTCCAACCAAAAGTTTGTTAAACAAACTGGAACTTGTAAAACATCAAAACATAAGCCGAAATATGATCAATTTTATTTTTTTTTTGTTTTCAAGTTAGAGAGGAGCTCAAGCGTTAGCAGACAGAGAGATAGATTGACCGACAGACAAGTCAATTTACTGTATCATCGGGCGGTCGCGAGTGGCGAACGTAGTGTTAAATACCAGCGTTTTAATTTAACATATGACCATCTTATAGCTTAGGAAAAACCATTGTTATACATGGGAAATCATTTCTTGCCAACAGCGCATCGACTCGTCTACTTTCATCGCTGTTCGTACATATTTCCTACCGTTAACCGCAGACCTGTATCACGAATGAGAATAATAGGCAGATACTCTGTGTTGCCAATTTGAGTAGAGCTTCCCGAATTGTGGGGAATTTAGAGTTGAGTGTTGATTCATTCAAGCTTTTAATCAGCATGGCCTAGACGTTAGAACTTCATAAAGATAACATTGAAGCTGAATGCTGCTGGAGTATAGTGTTTCGAATATTCAAAGCGGAGCGGGACACTATACTCGTTCAATGGGTCATCAAGCCACAGTCTTTTCAACAAAGAAATTATGCGAAAATGCGTTATATTTTTACGATTTTGTCGTCACCAAATCTCTGTTTCTCAAAATGTACGTCTATTGTAGAATTTTCAGCAAACTAAGCAAGAAACGTAATCTAGTATTTACTCAACATTACGGATTTCTCGAAATACATTAAAAAATGTGACCTAGATACCTAACTGCCCCAAGCTCTTTAAATATAACACCTTAAACCAGGGTTACCAGCTGCTCAGTCACGTTGATTGTCATGTTGTACTGCGCAAGTCAGCAAACAATCTGGCGTAATAAACGTTTGGAATCATCAGGTATTGCCAGATTCCCGAATACCGGGCACCATAGTAACCGTTATAGTTGTCCTTCAAAGTGGTCAAATCGCCCCTATGGCGCAAATTCGCCACACCAGGCAACTGTGCTATAAACAAACCCTGTTTATCACTACTATTTGATAGTCATATGGTAGTTGTAGCCCTATCTAGCGGTCCATGATTTCTCTCAATACTGTTGTATCTCTACTGGCAACAAGAATAGCGATTACAAAATCATTTATACAACAATATACAAACATGAAAAATATGATTTGAACCATGAAACATTAATACAATTTTAATAGTTTGAACTTTTTTCATTTTTGGAATACTCTTATGTGGAATCCGCAGCTATTTTTCCCGAAATTTGGGTAGACTTAGATTTCTTAGAAATATGACATATTGGTATCGGCAACTCTGCGAATGAGAGAAACAAATCGCATTTGTTGAGCGCATCCGTCTAAGCGGTAGGCGCCAGCGCCCGTTCTGCCATCTCTCTCTTTTATCACCCTTCTACTTTACCCCGTTGTCCTTCACACTCAGATGCTGCCACATAGAATCCTACACTCGAGTGTCTTTCACGCACCTACATACTTTTGTATATTTCCATCTCTCTTCCTCATCATAATGTATAATAATGTTTTTTCCCAAGGTGTATAACAGATGAGTACTATTACCGGGAGCAGAAGTTTCTTAATAATAAAGCGTATTTCACTGTTGCCAAATATGTAACATTTACCACACCCTACCTCGTACAACCCTCAACCCAACCCTTGATTTCCAACCAAAAGTTTGTTAAACAAACTGGAACTTGTGAAACATCAAAACATAAGCCGAAATATGATCAATTTTATTTTTTCGTTTTCAAGTTAGAGAGGAGTTCAAGCGTTAGCAGACAGAGAGACAGACTGACCGACAGGCAGACAGACGACGTGAATGGGCGGCATGGTTTTCTGTGATGTATGTATATACATGTCAAACAACATACAAAGAACATATCTCATTTTCGAAACTATTCGCGATTACAATACTTCCTCGCCAATTGGGAACTAAAAGATTATTGCGTTTGCTAACATTACTGATGCTTGGGTGTGAAGGATCATTCACAATTCAATAATATTTGTGTTACGCTAAATCAGCATACCTACGAAATCTTCAAGAACATGTGCGATGGTAAATGTACTGCTTATTAGAAGCACTAATATCCTTGCGCTGAAAAAACATCTCAGGAAATATCTGGTTGAAAAATGCTTTTACTCTCTACATGAGTTTTACTAACACATGAAAGTATCTGTTTTTTAAATTCTTTTAAGCTGTTAATCATTTCGTTATCAGTGAATTGTCTATTATCGTGGAATAAATGTATTTTAACTTCACTTTTTATTCGAGTTTTAACGAAAGTATGTATGTTTTCTTTTTAAGCTTTTAACCATTTGTCCTCACTGCTCGATGTTTATTGTGTTATATATTATGTATTTCTAACAGATTCTCCTACCGCGTTTCTTTGTATCAGCTTCAATGATTTTTACCGGCTAGACGAACATTTTTTGTGATAAAAAAAGTCGCTGTATATGTATATATTTTTACCGTTACAGATTGAACACATTACGATTCTTGCACTGTACCTGTACCTATAATGTGATTTAACGTTTTAAAATGTTTTGTAATTGTAATGTCCTTATTTATTTTATAATTATAAGTATTTTTCTGGCATATTTGCTCAAACGAATATATGACCTTCAAATTGATATTGACAAGTCTTATATCATGTAACATGATCTAATAGGACAATAAACTATCTATCTATCTATCTATCTATCTATGCGCTAAGGAATTCCTCATATATCCTAGTGAAAGAGTAGCAAAAAACTGCCTGTTTGTGTCAGGACAACTTCGATTTGCAATTGGCATTGCAACTGGACACTGTTAGCTAAGGAAGCTATAACATGGCAGTGAGTGACACATCCTTATACGAGGGCGGTTCAATACGTACCCACGTGAGGAACACCATTTTTTCCAAAAAATTTCTTTTTATTTTTCTAAATAATCCCTTTTTAGAAAGATACACTTTTCCCAACGTTCCAGGCATTTTTTAAGCCCCCCAAAAAATAGGATTTGTCGAACTCTCCAAAATACGCCTGTCTCGGTGATGACTTCCTCGCTTGAGCTAAATTTTCTCCGCAAGCCATTTCTTCATGTCAGCGAATAAGGAAAAGTCGCAGGGGGCCAGATCGGGTGAATACGGAGAGTGCGGCAGCACTTATATCGCAATTCATGCAGTTTGGTGTGACAACTCCGGATGAATGTGCTGGAGCGTTATCGTGGTGAAACAGCAGCTTCTTTTTCATCAAATGTGGCCGTGTTTCCTTCATTTTTTTGTCGAAGCGGTCCAATAACTCATTATAGTATTGTCCAGTGATCGTCGACATGACCTTTTCGGCCGATGGGACCGTCTTCGCCTTCTTTGGAGCAGATTCACCAGGAGAAATGCATTGTTTTCATTGTGGCTTAGTTTCTGGTGTTTAATGTTGAATCCAGGTTTCAACGACGGTAACAAATCGACGCAAAAACGCCTTCGGATTTCGCTTAAATTGCTCCAAACACTGCTTCGAAGTTAGCAGCCGCATCCGCTTGTTGTCCACCGTGAGCAATCGCGGCCCCCATCGGGGCGACAATTTTTTCACAGCCAAATTATCATGTAAAATATTGGTTGCCATTCCGGTCGACACACCTACGTTGAACCAATATCTAACTTGAGCATACATAGCGAAGTTCCCCCATAAACAGCATCCAACTTTGCTTTTATCTCCTCGCATTTTTTTCCCATCCAAAAACAAAAAGCGAATTACCGAACGATGCTGCTCTTTTTCTATCTTAGCGAAAATCACGAAATACGTGATACTCGAATGGCTGCCAAATCCAAACTAACCTACCTTCTATGCGTCATTGTCCGTGGGAACTTCGCTCTTTGTTAAAGTATCAACAAAAACTAACCTATCAACTAGTCTAAAATTTGTTGTGCCGTCGTTTGATAGATGGCAGCACATGATGATAACATTAACTTCCCTCAGGAGCGCCCTCTGTCGTCAACCACGGGTACTTATTGAACCGCCCCCGTATAGAGGATCTGAACGGCAAGATGAGACAGTCAAGCACTTGTTTTGGGACTGCCCAGCTGTTCAAGAATCTATTTTGGGGAAACGTTAGCGTTTTATGTCCAGCGTAAGGCAAGGCGCGCACTGAGATGGTGAGCAAGTGACGTGGTAGTGGCGCGGTGATCAAGTGGCAGGTGGAATCGCTAAAGCCTATATAAACAAATGAAGACGCGCGTATCAAAATGGAGTAGCGGTGGCGTGACATTTTGTAGGTGGCGTGATGTCAGTCTGGTGCCACTAATCTCGAGCAAGTTTAATTTTCGACTGGCAAGCGGTTGGTGACGACGACGCGACGTGGGTGTATCCAGTTCGTCAGTACCTAGTGTAAATAATCCTAAAAGAAATAAAACTACTCCGAATCAAATATCTTTGGCAGATGTTAACAAATCTGCCTTTGAATTTTTTGAAAAAAAGAAGCAAGCACCGTATAAACCACATGCTTTCACTAATGATGATGCCGATGTGCAGTTTTTGTTGAGTCTATTGCCCGATTTGAAAAAAATGACAGACAAGCAGAAAAGAAAATATAAAGTGGGAGTCCTACATGTTGCCGGTGAAATCTTGGATGAGCCTGTAGTGTCTCATATTTCTGCACCTCTCTTCTCCCCAACGTCTAGTTATTCATCGCTTGCTGCAGACAGCATACCTTCTACCCGTTCCTCTTCAGCATGTACCAGCTCTATTCGACCTCAATGTGAGACAGCTGATTCGCGGACATATGAAGATATTTCGTTTTCAACAGTACGTCAGACATCCACACAAGCACAAGATACATTATTACCAAATATTCAGTATAATAACCCATTATTACCAGATCATGAATTTGCTTTTTAAGAATAATGTTGTACAATAAGTTTGTATTTGGATAGTAAATATATCTGTATTTATATTTTTTCATTGTACGTACCTCAGTGTTATTAGAACGCTTTCTTCGGGAGAAACATTTCCTGAAGTTCGTATCCTTTTTTTGAAGCATAGGCCGTAGTTTAGTCAGTAACTTGCTAAAAGTCTCTTTCTTCATTCGATAGAAAAGTTTAAATTTTTGGTCGTCCAAGTTCAAATCCTTTTTATAAACATTAAAAATTCCAAACTTTTTATTTTTTTGCCACAGCGGATGAACCCAATGCCGTTTTTTCTTCGTCTCCTGACTTATAGCATTTAGATTAACAAGTTGCAAGGGCATCTTCATCTTCTGAGGACGACATGGTAAACCGGTGACATCAACTGACTTGTTTGCCACTTCAGTGCGCTTTATATCACTTTCATACCACTTCGCCGCTATTCCGATCGCCACGCCAAATTTTACCATCCCTATGCCTCTCACCACTCCAACACCTCACCACTACCACACTACCTCAGTGCGCGCCTTGCCTTAGGCAAGGCGCGCACTGAGATGGTGAGCAAGTGACGTGGTAGTGGCGCGGTGATCAAGTGGCAGGTGGAATCGCTAAAGCCTATATAAACAAATGAAGACGGGCGTATCAAAATGGAGTAGCGGTGGCGTGGCATTTTGTAGGTGGCGTGATGTCAGTCTGGTGCCTAAGGGAAACTCGGCTGCGCCGCATCACCACCTTCCTCAATAATCTGGGATGGCTGACCTCCGGAGATCAAAAACGTAAACTCCATAGGACTTTTCAAAAGACGTTTGCGGAACAAGCTATCGGACTGCAGTTTTTATGACCTAGGTCACATTCCTCAGTGCTTCTGATAGATCTTAATAAATAACACTGGACAACAAATTTTAGTTTTTTAATTGTATCTTGTGGGAAAAGTGCACTTCTTTGTTAATTTTGGGGCGCTGAATCCAAAAATGACAATGAAATAAAAAAAATTAGTTGCGGTTTAGAAAAAAAACTTTTTATTTTTAAGGATATATTAAAAAAAGTAACAAGATTCATATACTTATAAGAATCACTATATGCGCTGTCTTTTTGCTGTTCTTTTATGGATCGTTTCTGGAGCATCTCTACCAAGAGTCCAACAGTAGTCTGCAAGCATGGAAGGATTCCACTTTCCCTGGTACCTTTTTTCCATTGTTGGAATATCATGATGAAAACGTTCGCCGTGCTCATCACTTACGGCTCCGCAATTGTCAGGAAAAAAGTCCAGGTGTGAGTGTAGGAAATGTATCTTAAGAGACATATTACAGCCCATCTTTTGATACGATGACAGCATATTTTTAACAAGGGTTTTATAGTTGTCAGCTTTTCTATTTCCCAAGAAATTAGTGACCACCAGACGGAAATCATTCCAAGCAGTTTTTTCAATACCTGTTAAAGTGTTTTCAAACTGTGTATCTTTCAAAATATTTCGAATCTGTGGCCCAACAAAAATACCTTCTTTAACCTTTGCCTCACTTAGTCTTGGAAATTTCTGTCGCAGGTATTGAAAAGCTGACCCATCTCTATCTAATGCCTTGACAAAGTTTTTCATTAGGCCCAACTTGATATGCAGTGGTGGTAATAAATTTTTTTTCGAATCTAGTAATGACATATGCTGTCCATTTTTTTGACCTGGCTCTAGGAATTGACGAACAGGCCAGTTTTGTCTGGTGTAATGAAGTGCCTTTGCTTGACCATCCCATTCACACAAAAAACAGCAAAACTTTGTGTAGCCTAGCTGCAGCCCAAGTAAAAGTGCAACAACTTTCAAATCGCCACAAATATGCCATTGGTGCTCATCGTATTTTATGCATGTCAATAGGTACTTCATATTGTCATATGATTCTTTCATGAGAACTGCATACCCTACAGGAAGAGATGGTAAAATATTTCCAATATGCAATAACACTGCCCTTAAACTCAATGTTGAACTGTCTATAAACAATCTCCATTCTTCTGGGTTATAGTTTATATTTAAAGCCGCCAGTAAGCCGTTAATGTTACTGCAGAAGACCAAGTTATTCTCCATATTGAAAAATGGTTCTAAGTCTTTGTGGCGTTTACGAAAAACACATACCGAAACATCGTCTTCTAACAAGTTCCACTGCTGCAGTCTTGATCCAAGTAACTCTGTCTTACATTTTGGAAGTTCTAAATCTCTTACAAGATCATTTTATTCTGACTGTGTTATTTTGTGCGGTTGGTGGCATGACGTGCTCGGTATAAAATCAGGATCTCTTGACGTTGATGGCATATCTTCTTCCTGACGAATCACTCGATCGCCATGATCTGATTCGTTTTCTGATTCGCAAGTGTAGGATTCTGGGGGTTTTGGAATAGGATTTTCGTCACTGTGAGGCACAGGTCTCATCGCAGGTGGTATGTTTGGGTAGTTAATAACCGATTTTTTTTTCTTGGACATACCTGTGGCTTGTCCAACACAAGGTAGCATGCAAAAGTAACAATCATTAATATGATTTGTAGGCTCTCTCCAAACCATTGGGACAGCAAAGCGCATAGACCGTTTTTTGCCATTCAACCAGCTCCTCAGACTTGAAGCACATGTGTTACAGCAGATGTGGGGTGCCCACTGTTTGTCTTGATCACCTAGTTTACAACCGAAATAAAGCTGATATGCCTTTTTTATTAGTGGAGTAATAGACCGTCTCTGAGACGCAAAAGTCACATCACCACACACGTAACAAAACTGATCTGGATTGTTTACACACTTTCGAGACATCTTGCATGAACGCTGTCAGCCAACTGAGGAAAAAATGGCTAATATAAAACAATATAATGTACACGTATGTATAACGTAACACAATCATGCCGATTACATCATCTTTGCTTGCCGAATATAAAAATGTAGCACGTGCATTCTTGTGAATTACAGTATATTAACACTGTCACAGCAGGAACACATATAATTACCGTATCTCTAAAACTTGAACTAATTTTGAAAAAATAAGTTTCATTCCGGTTTTAGCACATTAAAAATAGTAATATTTTGTTGATTTTATTTAGGATATTTTTTCATTCATTTTATCCATATTTTAATGTCTATACACCGACTTATCTAATGTCTACAATGTAGATCTTACTGGATCAATAAATGAATCTGAATCTGATCAGACCTGTGCGACCTTTGGCGAGTACGAACAAAGAGCCCAATTCGGCCTTAGTACTGTGATCTTGTTTGACTGCTCTTCCCTTTATAAATAAGAATAACCCACTTGCTTAAGTAGGCTGATTGCCTCCGTTTGGTTAATTGAATTGAATTGAATTTCCTCCACGACCCATGGTAGTCCATCTCAAGGAGCTTACTCACACCTCTACATGCCTTAATCTGACATATACAAGAAAACTCTGTACGAACGAAGTGGCTACCCCCATTTCGTTTTCTGTTATACATCGCAAACCCGTTGCTCGGTCGTATGTAAAAAGTCGATATGAAAACTAGGGTCTGCAACATCAGGTCAACTATCGACGCAAACGAACTAACAGACTATACTGCTACTAACCCAGATTAAATTCAATTATTGACACGAATGTTGTGAGCGGCACGTCTAATTCGACTGATTACTGGATAAAAATACACCTTATCCACTTTGCGCCATATTGATTTTTCCTTCCTGTTGCGTGCGAGTATTATGACAAAATATGCTACGTGCTCGCAGAAAATGGATATACATCTGTTTGTAATATTCACACATACACTAAAACTAATTTTGTTGACGCAATATTAGCGAACAGCGAATAGAATATTCCCTTAGTATGGATCGGGATTTGCGTATATGCTATACGCTGGAGTCTCTTGGCGCATTTTTGTGTTCGATGCTTGTTCCGCAGCATGTTGCAAACTGAATCTGTTTGTTTCACCGCGAATGCTATAAGGATCTTAAAAATAGCATGCTTTCCGATATTTGAACTGTCTAAGGTCAACAGAACTGGGAAAACCACATGAGGTAGATTGTTCCGGAGTCTTGACGACATAGGAGCAAATAACACAGCTCTGGAAATTCGATAGAGCTATGATGAGAGGTAGATGCTCTGAGGAGCAAAGCCCGTTGACATAGCGGTAGAG